TTTTCAGTTCTCCAACTTGTTCTTGCTCGTCCTTGCTATACAATTTTGGATCATCCATATAAAACAGATTGCTGATTGGAGCACTTGTGTTTAAGATCTTGTAACCATACCCAGAAGTAGCCAACTCTGATGTTAAAGGCACAAGGGCTAGACAAAATAGCAGAGGTTATTATTATTATTATTGTTATCAGATATATTTATATATTGCGGGCGAGAAGAGGAGCCCGCAATCCTAACCTCCAGGTTGATATTGCGCATGCGTCGCATGTACGTAGCCAGTCAAACTCGTTCCCAGAGGTTGGGCAGCAACGGGAGCCAGTATTGCTGGTTTTCAGTGTCACGCCATTCAAAATAGATCAAAATACAAATCAAAACCGTTCAATAGATTAAGTCCAGAATCTGGGAAATGAAAGGAGGTACATATACAAAGACCCTCGCCAAGATTCAGGTCAGAGGAATATTTCGTATACGAGATATCCGAAGAAATGTTTTACCCAAACTTATAGAGAATTGTATGGAGACGCCATGCTAGTGCTCACCTGGATGAGCTCCAACAAGGCGGACGGAAACCAACAGAAACATCTGTTGCCGAGTGAGAGTGAATCTATTCTTCGAGAAACTCACAAACATTAAAGTAATACTTTTTCTAATACATGAACTGTTTAGATAGCAAAATTTCCTGAAATAAGTCATTTTTTTAACCTACATGACAGCTCTCTTGGCCAGTAAATGCCGAGTCACGCAAAAGCTTAGAAATTCAAGCGTACTCTATCACAAAACCAAGAACCCTCTTGAAGAGAAAATTTGTATGAAAATTAGTTTTCAGCTGCCCTAATGCATCGTGAAAGTAAATTCTCGGTAGGATCGATAGTTTTTTAGTTTGAATTTTAGTGACGTCATGTGAAAACCGACCGGAAATTTGTTTAGACTTCCACTAAGAATGAACGGAATGCACAAAACGCAATTCCATCACTTCTACATTTCGGTTGCGAAGACCCGACCCAGGCTGTCAAGTGAAACGTACGCAAAGCGTTGGAGCAAAAGCGATTTTGGTCGGCCGCCCGTACTAGTTTGTTTATTGTTCTGAATACCAAGGAGAGAGATGCAACCAGAAGGCAGCCACATCCCATAACTGTCTTTTCAATTCGTCCTTGGTAAAAATGGCAAAGCAACATAATTGTCTTCACGTTATACACAAGCTCAGTATTGAAGGCAATGAAAGGAGGCAGCCAAAAACAAAAACAAGAACAAAACAGAAATGGATACATAACGACTACAAGCAATAGTTGTAAGCGGGGACTTTTTTTTCAAAAGGAGCGGAAAAATTTGGTCAAACCAATTACCGTAAAATTCCGAAAATAAGCCCCTCCTTGTATAAGCCCCTCTAAATATAAGACCCCCAAACCGGTAACGCAAAAAACCCTCCGTTAAATCGCCACACCAAATATAAGCCCCCCGGGGGCTTGTTCTTGGAAAATTGCCCTCAAATACAAAGTATAACAAAGCAAAAACGGTAAATTTACTTCCAACGATATGGCTAGCCCTTTCGATTTTGAAACTCAAATTTCCCTCCGTAGATAAGCCCCTCCGAATATAAGCCCCTCCAAAAATAAGCCCCTCAAAAAGGGCCTTTGAAAAATATAAGCCCCGGGGCTTATTTTCGGAATTTTGGGGTATTTGTGAAAAGAAAGAACACCGAGTATGATATGACATTTCATTCATTGTCTGTAGCGTTTTTGTCGTCATAGTGCGGTGGTTGTATCAGCATATTTGCTTCTTCGGCTGCAAGTTTTGGTGCCAGGTTCCTTATTTTGGGCTAGATCTTAAGTCAAGGTGCTCGGTTCTTCCTTAAGATTCATAGCCGGTGCACAAGCCATTATACTCAGTGCTTTATAACCCTTTTTACTCAGTGCGTATGCCATCATGTTATTCGATACTCTGCCGTAACTATTTGTCCGTGTTCAGTGCTTTTTTCGAAAGGTGATACCCTCCTGATTCGTGTTTAGCTTAGCCAAGTTAGTTCAGTGCATAACATATGTTCATATTCCATCTTTCCATAGTTATTAGAGGAGACTGGTTATGAAAAGCGGCAAACATCAATGATAAAAACAACAGTGCTGCAGTTTTTGTTGGAAGTACCGTGAAAGTGCACAATCCTTTGTTTTCTGTTGGCAAATTGTTACGGAATAAATCAATGCAACGTTTTTATTGGTCAATACAATCAAAATGATAGGGATTCTTTTGAACGTTGTGCACTTTTAGGTCCACAAAAACATATAACAAAGGAGTCTGACGGGTTTCATAACCATTCCACTCAATTAACTATGATCTTTCGTCGTTTCTGAGGGCAACAGTTTACTTTCATATTTGCTCTAATCGGTTACATTCGAAAAATCTGTTAGTCGGACTCCCAGCTGAGACAATGACTCCCAGATGAGTTTATCATGTTTCGCGTTCTGGACTTAAGTTAGTGTTATCAATAGTTGAAAGAAGGAGCAAAATTTTGTTAAGTCTAAAAAAATGAAAAAATGCTTTACTTCCGTTACATTATTCAGTGCCGTGTAGGAATCCTATAAGTTGGATACTTGTGTGATGTTTTGCTTAAATTGTTTCACAAAGGCAGCCTTCTCAAATTCTTATTCAGTTGGCAAAGTATTTGGAAAACACGACTGAAACTGTTCACCCTTCCTCGTTACCAGTCTTTCCAATCTACATAACGAATCATACGTAGTCCCTTTTTGAATTAATTACCGCTAAACAGAAACATCAACGACATTAATGACACATTCATACAGGATTAACCTCGACATAAAGTAAAATATTCACAAATTCCAGGAAATATAGGTGTTTGAAATTAAAAAAAAAACAACAATAGACAGAGTTATAAATAAACTGGTCTTCTTCTCGTTGGAAGTTGTGAATATATTTATGTTATAAATGCGTCTTTACTTCTTGTATTCAGCGGTCATAGCGAACTAGGAACTGCTTTCGAATCACCAAAATTCATACTTGGCTCCGAGGCCGTGTAAACGAATTAGTAGACAATTAATCTAAAGAGATTGGCAAGTGTGAATTTATATATTATTTGAAACTGGTATATTGTTGTATAGTTGGAGTTTCTTTTTTTCAGTGTTGTCCGTTGTTCTCTCTTCATGTTATTATCACTGTTACTAGCCTCTTAAACTCTGGTTCCACGTAGAAGCATGGACGTACAAATAAGGGCATTGTTGTGCTGAAGATCAGCAACAAACTGACGCACGGCTTAAGAACTCCCAGGAACTGGGCTGGCGAACTGATTAACATCACGGGCTTGCCTATGCGAGCGTAACTAGTTTTTTTGACTGTACAAGAAAAAATGATTAACCTGGTAAAACCACTTGCAACTCCGAAATCATGTATTTAATTACTGAGACTTTCAAATAAAAGAGAACTAAAAATTGGCGCGTTCAGTTTATCAATTCTTATTTACTAGCAAACCATTTTCGTTCTCGGTTATAACCAGTTACAAAGTTCTTTCTTTTATCAATTTCCATTAAATAAAACACCTTATATGTCTCATTTTTTTATCTATTGTCTTAGTATTTTTATTTGCTGTCAAACTGTTCGCGGCATTGTTTCCAAACGTGATCTCAACTTTCATCATCTCACAATTTATACGTACGGCGTTTCATTTTAAGTGTTACTTCTTATAAAGAGCACCATATAGCTCAACAATAAATGGCTCTATTTTAACAGCACATTAATTTTTAAAAACTTCCATTCTTATTATCTAGCATAGATTGATACTGTCTTTCTTTATTGTATTATTAAAAACTTCTATAATTGTTATTATCTAACACAGAGTGATACAGTATAGTCCTCATTCATTCTATTATTTTCCACGCATGCAATATTAAATTAGCCTCCAGCGAGACGGAAATAGAGAAGCTGAAAAGCATTTATTTTTTGACATTTTCTTTACAAAAGTACAATTTTTAATGACAGTTCGCTGTGGCATTTACATAAATCAATCCGTAATATGTTAGAAACACCTGCCTAACATTTGACAAGTCCTACTTCGTCTGCAAAAAAATATAAAAGCTGTTAAAGAATGTCTCCTTCACTTTCGCAGAAGTAAACGAAAGGTAACTTCAAATTGGCACTTAATGGTTGATATGTATCATACGGCCAAACATCTTGCTTAAGACACTAAAGAAGAAAGGGTTTGGTGTAACTTTGTCATGAAAATACTTAGCATCAACGAAGTCTTCAAAGGACAATCTTAAAAAATAATTTAGATTGTACTCTCGTGTTCTCAACGATTATTTGTGACTGAAGATGAGCAATACAAGTTGCGATCCAGAATCCTCTTTATCTTGGAACATAGCTGATTATGATCTTGCCAGAGTAGTAGTTATAAGTTCAATTATTGTCGCATCCATGTCTCCTGTAACCGTAACCGGGAATCTTCTTGTTGTGCTCGCCATATGGAGAAACGAGTCTTTAAGAAGCTCGACGTACTTCTTGGTCGGCGCTTTATCGTTGGAGTACTTTGTATCAGGGGTACTTTTTCAACCATCATATTCTATAAAGGAACTTGCCTTGGCGTTGAGACCATCTCTGATAAAGACATCGGTCTTCTATTATTTGCACTTAACCCTCGGAGGCCTTGGAATATACACAACTGCTCTTACGACCTTAACTACAACATTGATGGCAATCGAAAGGTGTCTTTATATGACTAGGCGAAGATGGGCGAATTCCAGCCGCGTTTTCAAACTCTTTCTTGTGATATTACTTCTGCCCATACCACTAAATGTCTTCCGTACGTTGCAAATTTTGACCGGATCTTACTGCCTAGTGTCACAAATAGCAATAATATCCCTTGTAACACTTTGCTTTGTAGTAACTTCCTTAACTTATCTTCAAGTTTATCGAAGCATTCGTCACCATCAACAGCAAATTCAAGCCAGCGTGACTGCGACGCGTTCCCCAAGAGGGCCATTCATAAACATGGCAAAGTACAAGAAATCAGTCTTGACAATTCTCCTTATCTTGGCTTCGTTCTATTTGAGTTATTTGCCGTTCATTGTCAACGTTTTTCTACTCTTGCTGTTCGGGCAATCGCCGAGTTTGATTGCTGCTTATAAAGTGTCGGTTGTATTGGTGTTCGCATTGTCCGCGATCACCCCAATCCTTTATTGTTGGAGAATCAGACAAATTCGCGAAGGAGTGAGGCAGTTACTGTATAAACTGCTCTGTAGGGACTAAAAAAATGACTGCACATCATACAACTTAATGAAGAATAATTTGAAAAGATCTCAGGCCGGAGCTCTTGATCTCGTCCTCGCTCCACCAATTATTGGAGATCAGGAAAATCAGTGCAAACGGAGCGGAAAATTCGCGTGAACACTGCAAAGAAACAAGAATTGAACCGGAAATTTGAAACCTTAGGGAGCTTAAGCAACGACGACTGCGACGGCAACGAGAACAGCAAAAAAGGGAATAGGTTAGATTAGCACAACAACAATTTTGCACGTGCATGCATCACGCTTTTTTGTACATTTTTTGCCGTTGTTTCTCGAATGCAGCGTGAAACTTCCAAGTTTCACGTTTTGTGAAGGAAGTGAACACAGGAGAACAATGTTTTTTTTCTAAACTTAAACACAGTCCTTCAGAATCAACTCCAAAAAAATTCGCCAACATTTGACAAATTGAATAAAATGGAATAAGAGGAATGAAGTTTCAAAAAGCGTGAATTCGCGTTTTTAAGTGACGTTTCGCTGCCGTTGCTTTCGTGGTTGCTAAAGCTCCCTTTTTATCTTGAAGAGTCAATCACTTCATCTCTAAAGCCTAGGGACATACAGCCCCATTCCCGTTTCTCATGTCTTTTGTTTCGAAAGAAGCTAAGAGACAAGAGGAGAGAACTTGGACACATGCTTGAGTATTGCTGGTTTGCACGTGACGTCACGGCGGCCATGTTGGTGGACAAGAACAACAGTAACTAAACTCCAACATGGCCGCCCTGTCACGTGGTTGCTTAGAGCCACTCGAAATTGGCCTGGACTCGAGCCACACTCTCGCGAGGATCCCCTTTCAGAAACGTGTAAATTCCAGAATGTAGTTTTTCCGCGCGTGTTAACACGATGGAGTAATCTTCCTCCGTGGCGAGTTGAAGATCCTGGCGTAACTGACGTCTAGCAGCGTGATCCATCGGTACTGTGCCAAATGACCTACCACGAAAACAAAGACAAAACAGATACACTCTGTTGGAGTACGATTGACCAGGTTTGACTGTAAGTGGTAGAGATGTGAACAAGGATTGAAAAGCTGAGAAAACAATTCAACAGCACTAAAGAAGAAGAATAAATCTAAAGTTTATCCTGCGGGGGGAGGGGTAGGGTGGCATTGTGGTCGAATTTTATTTATCTGCATTGTAACGTATTTGAGCTTCCATGTTGCTACAATGTGGCATTTTTCCCAAAAACAATACTACGATAACTGCGTTTGTTCTCTGCTAGCAAACATTGGTGGAATTTACTGACTAACCCTATGTATCAGCAGTCTGTATTTTAAAACAAGTTAGATGTGCGCATCAACAGGGAGTTTAGGCAAAGTCGTTTTTGAGCGACGTACGTTAACCAGAAGTGTGGCCTGCCTAACTAAAAGGCGTTGGCGCTACCGAATGTGTACTTCTCAGTGTCTTTACCGTACAAGAATGAAGAGAAGAGTCGTGGATGAGAGGACAACAGACGTGCTCTCTTTACAATACATTTTTAACATGTGAACAGTAAGCTCGGACGTCAGCATACAAAGGCGCCACTGGCAGCCGCTCTCAGTCCATTTATGATCTTAGTGTACCTACCCAGCCCATGATGTGAATGATATGATGTGTGAAGGTTGACCACAACACCGTGGTCTACGTCCCCTACTGTTTTCGAACAGTGGTGTGGGTTTTTTTACGTTCCACAAGAACCAGATAAGTGTAAGTGCTATGAAACGGGACCTACGCTTTTCGTCCTTATCCGAGAAGACTAGAAAGTCTACCCGTTTGCAGATGTCATTACAAAGGCAGCACTTTCTTCTCAGTTATTTAAAGACCCTGAGGCTGCCAGACCCTGAGTGTTGGTCCGGCCGGGGTTCGAACCCGTGACCTCCCGCTCAGCAGACCGGCGCTCTCCCAACTGAGCCAACCAGGCGGCGGTAAATTCAACTCAACTCAGTTGAATTTACAAGAGACGATTTTCCCGAAAAAAATTAGGCAAAACTAATGCCCAAGAACGCAAAAAGTCCTCTTCCGGTTGGCGCGCGTCAATACTCTATTATGAACGTTGCAAACAGGTAAACTTGAAAGGATTGTTAACGCTACAGAACTTGGGGTTACATTTCACATTGAAATCATATTCATTTAAATTCATTCTCTGAGTTGAATTTACATGTGCAGGTGCGACTGAACGTGTTGGGGGAAGGGGTTGGGTTCCAGTTAATTAGAGAACCTTTAGCAGACTTACAATAAAACTGCCCTGATATCATGGGGCATATTATACATACGTTTTAGCTTCCACGTATTTGATGAGTGCCAGAGCTTTTCTGTCAAGGAGACGCAGGAAATTATCGATGAATCCCTCGCGGACACCGCAAACGTAAGGAAGGAGATTGAGCTGTGAAGTGAACAGATATACAAATGTAATTATCAAACAGTGGATCAACTACTGAATAACTTAGGG